CAAGAAGAGCTATGTTTAAGTAGGACTGATAGAGTAAGGAAGTACAGAGAAGCACTAACTGACTTTTCTAGGTAGGTAGATCAGTATAACATTATGAAACCTGTCCTGGTTGTCTATAACAGAAATAATACAGGTGGATGCCTTTAGCAAAGATAATTTTTGCTCACAGTTTAGAAGTCCAGATCGCAAGTACTGACTTGAGGGGGAAGACTTTCTCTCTCTGTTGGTTTAGGAGGAAGGTCCTGTCTATAGCTTCTGCTTCCTGGTTTCCTCATATTAAGGACTCATACGTCATTTTCTTGCCTACTCAATCTCTCTTAAAACTCCAAGTAGATTCTTCTAAGATGCATTCTCCGCTGTTACTTTTAGAGTCATCAAGTTGGTTCTGATCCTTTGCAACCCTGTGCAAAATAGAGCAAAACATTGCCAAGAACCACATCATTTTCACAGTGATTCTTATGTTTAAGCTCATTGTAGCAGCCACTGTGTCAATCCATCTCGTTGAAGGCCTTCCTCTTCTTCACTGCCCCTCTACTGGCTTCTCCTGACAAGATGTTCAAAGTTCATGAGATGAAGTCTCACTGTCCTTGCCTATAAGGAGCATTCTGGCTGTACTTCTTCCAAGATAGACGTGTTAGTTCTCTTGGCAGTCCATGGTACTTTCAGTATTCTTTACTAGCACCGCAATTCAGATGCATCAATTCTTTGGTCTTCCTTATTCAGTGTTCAACTTTCACATGTATGTGAGGCAGGTGAAAATACCATGCTTTTGGGCATGCAGGGAAACCTTAGTCCTCAAAGTAACGTCTCTGTTTTCGAAGACTTTAAAGAGGGCTTGTGCAGCTGAGTTACCCAATGAAACGCATCTTTTGATCTTTTGACTCTTGCTTTCAAGAGCATTGATTGTGAATCCATGCAAGAAAAAAATCCTTGAAACTTCAATCTTTTCTTCATTTATCATGATGCTGTCTGTGGGTCCAGTTGTGTGGATTTGGTTGTCTTTGCATTCATTTGTAATCCGTACTGAGGGCTGAAATCCTTACTCTTCATCAACAAGTGTGTCAAGTCCTCACTTTAGTAAATGAGGTTGTGCCATCTGCATATTGCAAATTAATAAGCTTTCTTCCAGTTCTGATGCTGCATTCTTCATATAATCCATCTCTGATTATTTGCTCAGCATCCAGATTAAATAAGTAGTATGGTGAGAGAATACAATTCTGATACACACCTTTCCTAATTATAAGCTATGTAGTATTCCCTTGTTCTGTTCACACAGAATCCATGTACAAGTTCCACATGAGCACAGTGAAGTGTTCTGGAATTCTCATAGTTTTTTATGATCCACAGAGTGGAATGCCATTGCAGAGCCAGTAAAACACAAATGTACATCTTTCTGGTGTTCTTTGCTTTCAGCAATGATATTCCTTGTCCTAAGTATACTGAATACTGAAGTATTCTGAATATTTCCTGGACCTCTGTCAGCCCTCTGTCAATGTACTGCTGCGATGGTTGTGGGTGATATTCAGCAAAATTTTACTTGCATATGATCTTAATGGTATTGCCATATAATTTGAGCATTCTGTTGGGTCGTCTTTTTTGGAAAGGGTCAGTTGGCCAAGTAGTTGTCTTCCAGATTTCATGGTATAGATGATTGATTACTTCCAGTGCTTCCTCAGCCTGTTGAAACATTTCCATTGACATTCTGTGAATTCTTCGAGCCTGGTTTTTGGCTAGTGCTATCAATTTAGCTTGAATTCCTTTATTGGTTCTTGCTTGTATACTACCTCCTGAAACGGTGGAATGTTGACTAGTTCTTTTTAGTACAGTAATGCTGTATATTCTTTCTTTCTACTGTTGATGCTACCCGTATTATTCAAATATTTTGCTTGGTTGTTGTTGTTAGGTATCATCAAGTTGATTCTGGTCCATAGCAGCCCTACGCACAACAAAAGGAAACACTGCAGACTTGCACCAACTCACAATTATTCCTGTGCCCGAGCCCATTGTTGCAGCCACTGTGTGAATCCATATCTTTGAGGCCCTTCCTTCTTTTTGTTGCCCATCCACTTTACCAAGCATGATGTCTGCTTTCAGGGACTGGTCTCTGCTGATATGTCCAAAGTATGTGATTAATAGAAGATTTAGTTTTATATTTAGTTATCTGTTCCATTTTTTATTAAATCATTTTACTGGGAGCTCCTACGACTCATCACAATCCATCCACCCATCCATTGTGTCAAGTACATTTGTACATTTGTTGGCATCATCATTCTCAAAAATCTGTTCTATTTTGACATATGTATTTGCCCATAGAATCTTCCAGTATTGCAACGGGAGTTTTGAGTGTTTCTTAAAGTCTCTCAGTTTAAAAGCTGAGAGGCACAGCAGTTAAGATTTACAATACATATTGGGGATACTGTTCAATCTATAACAAGGTTCTGACTGTTGATCCACTCCATTTTTGACCTCTTGCATTTTATATGAGGGTGGGCAGTGGGTTTGTCCCCCAATTGGTAAAATGTGCGTGTGATATGTGAGGGGGGGAGTGTGACTGAGATGTTTTAGGAGGTTAAGATTCTATGAAAACTTTAACTCTTAAAACCATTGGTAAAATGTCTTTGAAGTGCTTGGTTGACTGAGGTGAATTGAAACAACATCAGCTAACTCAGTGGCAAATTGCCCAGCCTTGATTCTTCCTTGCTATTTCTAGGATACACTTAGCAACTAATCTCTAAGGGGCCGCATCCTCGTCCTACCATCTGCTTGTGGAGAAGAGTGGATGGAGGGACCTTTGTGTCAAAAGCCCCAAAGTGTGAACGCTAGGTTTGCCTGCCTATTAATCTCTACAGGATGATGGTGGAATCAGTTTCTTTTGTGACATAGGCCTAGGTTATCACAAAAGTTTAATAATTACTGTTTTGAAATGTTCACTTGAAATTTTGCATGTACAATTTGAATATATGATTCTTAATTCTTCCTTAAGGGTATATAAATAATATATAGAGTAAAAAGATGAAATAGGAATGACACACATGTAGCATTTGCTTCTAAATATAAAATGTTTAATAGAAATTAAGTATGTAGTGGGTTATGGAAGTAATTTTGTTGTTTTTGTAATTTTTAAAAAATACCACTATGACTTTCATCTCAGGGATTCATGGGGAAGGATCCACCTTCAGTACACTGTATGGCCTCCTCCTGTGGGACATCATCTTCATGGATGGAATCCCAGACATCTTTAGGAATGCATACCAGGTATACCAACAATGTTAGCCCTAATATAAGCTTTTCCAGCAAATGAGTTCTGCACACATTTGTGTTGAAGCCAAAGTGTATGTATGTTACAGTTTGTCCACACATCCCAGTGATGCTTCCACTGTAGGAATGACCTTTAATTAAAAAATGTGATTAATACACAAGCAAATGTGGTGAAGAAGCTGATGGTGCATGGCTACCAAAAGATATAGCATCTGAAGTCTTAAAGGCCTGAAGATAAACAAGCAGCCATGCAAAACATGCAAAAACAAGTAGCTGAAAAACAAAACCCACATGGGAGAAGCACACCACCCTACCCTGACATGATCACTGAATGTAAAGCGGGTGCATAAGCAAATGCAGTGAAGAAAGCTGAGGGTGCCCAGCTGTCAAAAGATATAGAACCTGGGGTCCTATAGGCTGGAAGATAAACAAGGGGCCATCTAATTGAGAAACAACAAAGCCCACATGGAAGAAGCACACCAGCCTGTGAGATCACAAGGCATCTAAGGGATCAGGTATCAGGCATCAAAGACCAAAGGGGGGTGGGGGGAATCAGCATTATGAATGAGGGACAGTGTGGAGTGGGGACCCAGGGCCCAT